CAAAAGAAGAAATACTAGGTTTTATCCCAAAGAGAAAAAGAAGAGCTTCAGAAATCCAAAGAGTAAGTAAAAGCATACTGTTTTGCAAGGTGAATGTGAAAGAATTTACAACTGTGGGCTACTGAAGCTGTAAGCAGAATTTAATGGACATCCAGGTTCAGAAGATCAGAATGCTCAGAGAAATGCAGACAGTGGAAATCCAGCTTATGAAGTTTCAGAGGGGAACAAAGACCCTACAGAGAACCAGGCTAGGTCATTCATGTTTTATTCTGGCAAAAAAAAAAAAAAAAAAAAAAAAAAAAAAAAAATTTTTCCCCCTAAAAAATTTAGGTTTTTTTTTTTTTTTTTTTTTTCTTGAGAATTTGCGTAAGGCTGAATTTTTAAAAGTAATTTGTTTGGTAGATAGGAAAACATTCAGGATTCAGGTCTATGGTACAGTTATTGCTTACTACTTTTATCCAGTTCTACAGTGAGAGACCAATGGTGAAGCAGAAAGGTAAAGAAAAAAAATGTGCTGTTTGAGTGAAAAAGGAATGAATTTAATGTTACAGACAAGGAGCTAAGGAAACAACTGCAACTGTTAGAAATTAGCACCATTAGGGTTCTGCATTGGGAGGTGCCATAGGAGAAGACCCCACTCATCTAAGACTCCATCTTGTGAAAAATGCAAAAGAGACTAATATCACTGACCTTCCTAGAAAATGAACCCTAGGCACATAGAAATCACTGCAGCTTTTGTCCAAGGGAACCAGGTTACATGTCATGCTAGCAGCAGAACCTGACAGTATCATTCATGTGGTACTGGTTTGCAGGCATAAAATATGAAAGATTGAGAGGGCCATGCAGCCTGGGATCAAGGTTCAAGACAGCCTCTAGGACGAGGCAAAGTGGAGTAGGGTCAAGGTCCCTGCAAGGAAGCTCCGAGAGGTCACTGTGTGAAGTTGTCATCATGAAGTCTAAATTGCAATGGAAATCCCAGGGTATGTGAGGTCCTAGTATCTTAAGATGTCTGCCAGAGGAAGTTGCACACATGAACTGACCCAGGAGAAAGGCTATGTATCAGGCAGCAGAGCTGGCAAGGCAGAGAGAGATTCCATATAATTCCATCACAAGCTCCAAATCCCAAACACAGGGGGGCAAGATTTGGTGTTTGTTCCCTGCATAAAACTCAATTCAAAATGGAACACCCCAAAGTTTGACCTGAAACCCTGAAATTGCTGGAGGAAACCATTCGAGACGTAGGTATATGCATGGATTTTCTTAACAGGACTCCAATAGCATAGAAAATAATTGGCAAATAAGATTACATAAAATTTCTGCATAGTAAAGGAAAAACATCACCAGAGTGAAGAGACAACCAACAGGAGAAAAAAAATCTTTGCCAACTACGTATTAGATGGGATTAATATCACGGATATATAAACAAATGCAAAAATTAAGCACCAACAAAACCGAATCATCTGATCAATAAATCCATCCAATAATAAAATAGATACAAATACTTGAAAAACGGAAACGCAACTGAAACTCACTTTGAGAGTCTATATCACCTCAGTCAGAATATTAACATTAAAAAAAAAATTGGAGACAACATGGAGTAAGAGGAACACTTAGTCAATGCTGATGACCATGTAAACTTGTGTAGCCACTTCGGAATCAGTATGGAGGTTCACCAACAATCTGAAAATAAAACTACTGTATAACCCAACTATATCACTCTTGGATATATACTTGAGGGGCTCTAAATCAACATACCACACATGTTATTTGCACATCCATATTTATTGCTGTGCTATTCACAATAGTCAGGCAATGGTATCAGCCACTGGATAGATAATGTGTGGTACAATGGAATTTATGCAGCCATAAAGAAAACTGAAGTTATGACATTTGCAGGAAAACAGAAGCAATAAGAAATCATTATGCTAAGTGAAATAAGCCAGACTTAAAATTATAATGACACATATATAAAGGGATGCCATCAGGAAACCCAATGCTTTGTATGCTAAAAATTAATAAATTTTTAATGTACATTTATTAAATTTTTGTACTTTCATACAAAACATCTTAATCCTCTTTATACTCCCTCTTCTAGCTGTGCCCCCATAGTCTCCCTCACCAGATTTCATGCATTCTGTCACATATGTTAAGACCTACTGAGTCAAGTTAGTGTACCCACATGTCCCTCAGACCCTACAGTGGATCTGAAGAGATGGCTCAATAATTAAGAGCACTTGCTATTCTTGAAGAAGACCCAGGTTTGGTTCCCAGGATCCACAAAGTAGCTTACAAACCATTAGTAACTCCAGTTCCAGGAGATCAAATGTCCTCTTCTGGTCTCAGAGGACACTAGGCATGCATATGGTGCATATACACACATGCAAACAAAACACTCGTACACATAAAATGAAATAAATATTTAAAAAAACAAAAGTACAGATCTTGGGTCTTACCATGAAAGATTTGGGCTCATGAGGTCTGACATTAAGGCCTAGAAACTTGATTAGGGTATAGGGTGGGGCAGAGTTGAGATCACTATGTTGCCCAAGCTGGTTCGGAAGTGGGCTCAGGTGATTTTTGCCACCTTCAAGCAGTTGGACTACAGACTTGCACCACTGTGCCTGGCTGTAGAAGCTGATTGCTAAATCTGGCAGGTGCGATCTACTTGAGATAGTTTAGCCCTGGCCTTTGGACTGGTGTTCAAAAACTGCAGACCTAAAGTACAAGACCAACTACATTTAGGAAATGAAAGCACCAATTTTTCAACACTATTTATGAAGATATGTAAAGACAAAACTGCTTCTAGAAATCTATAGTAACATTTTTAATGATAATGTACACATATAATTAAGCATTTCATACATAAAGCTTCCTAAAAACTTTCTTGTATCAATGGAAAAGAAAAGAGGAAGAGAACATCTGATTAGAAGACTCACAAACTATGTTAACTGAGAAACAACTGGAAGATGCAAACATCTTAATATCCAAATCTTAGCCTTTACATGAAAATGGCCTCAAAAATGGACAAACACACCAGCAATACTGAAGATTTGGCTTTAAAAGCCCAGAGTAAAACTCAAGAAAGCAAAATGCAAACATATTCAGCAAAAAACAATCCTACTAAAGATATGAATGTATCATTCAGATCCCCTAACTATGCCAACACTGAAACCTTAGTTTATACAAATCATTTGACGCCCTCATTCCAACACAGATGTTTCAATTTTAAAGTCTCCAACAACCACTGTTAGGCCATTTTTGGCCTCTCCTAAGATCCTACTACATAATGAATGCCTTTATCACATCCAGGAATCTCAATTTTGTTCTCTAAGCTTCAAGCCTAATTCTTTTGGCTCTTCATCTGTACTAACTAGAGAAGCTAGGTTGAAAAAAAGTCACACATATTGTAACAATATCTATGTACCCACAGAAGGGAATACTTTAACAAAATAAATTAGAAATATATACAATATGAATGGATTTGAAAACAAGTGAACAAAAGAAATTATATACTGTATAATTCCATTTACATGAATTCCTAGTGTAAGATAATCTACAAAGGCAAAAGATCAGTTACTGCCTATATGGGAGAAAGAATTTAATAGAAAGTGGCTTCATGAAACAAATTTATTGGGGTGATGAAAATGTTCTGAATTTTAATTAGTGTGGCAATAACCTAAGTGTTATGTACCGAAACATGCAGACCTAGACATCTAAATCGGCACTTTTATAGAAATTATAACTCAATAAAGACACGGGATGTTTTCTAAGGGAAGGTGAAACATTCCATCCTGCAGGGAATCTCCTTAAGCTCAGGAAGAAACAAAAGTTCCAAGGAAGTCCCTTAAACTGACCAATTCACTAGGCCCCTCCCTCTTCAAGTGTCTATTCCCCCTAAGGACTCCTGAGAGACATTCCTAGACAAGCAGGAGATATGCCCATCTGCCTGGAAGAGGTTTAGACCAACTGAGCTGCCCAGAAAAAGAAAAGACACTCCCCAACCTAGTGAGTCACCTGCAAGTTGTAGGGTACACTCCAGGTTCCTAGCTTTCATAAGCTGTGATCCATGCTGAGGTGGACTTTGGGTGATGCACCTGTCTTTCAGTCATTTCTGCTCCTGTAAGAAACCCCTCACCCATACTCCAGCATATAACTGATAAACTCAATTATCAGTAAAATTGGTTTACCAACTTGGACTTTGGCAATATCCTTACTTTGGTCTGTCTGTCCCTATCTGTGGTGAATAGATATTTGTTCATGACATCTCCTTAGGAATAGTGTCATACAGCAGCTGAGATGATTTTTAAAAGGGAATGAGTTGCGATAGCTCATGGATTCAGATCCATAAGTGCATCATGGCATTGAAACCTTGCAAAGCATGGCAGTTCACATCATGGCAGCCAAGATGTAGAGAAAGGGAGACAGGAAGGAACAAGAGAAAAAACACACCAATGATCTATCCCCAGTGACCTACCCATTTTGTAACGTTTCCAGAACATTCCAACTAGTGCTAGTAGTTGAGAATCTAAACTTCAACTCATGAGCCTGTAAGGGTCATTCATTCCATAATACCCTATGTATGTACTACTTCAAATAGTAATCAGGATATCGTCATTATTACCTTAAAATTTTTGTGTTACTCTTCTGCTTAAATTTTCCCATGAATGAACTCTAGAGGTCTTTTGCATAGCATGGTGACTGTAATTAATAATCTATACTATAATTGAAAATTTGCTGAGAATAAACGTTAGGTGCTTGAAGTAATGTCAGCTTCACTCAATCTTCACAAAGCATACACTTACCAAAATGTATTACACCCCATTAATATACACAATTTAAATTTTTTCCCTCAATCCCATAAAACCTGCACCAGAAAGATACATCATAAAAAGGATACACATACATACATACATACACACAAAAGCCAAATAACATCAGCAATGTTTCATTATTCATGAAATGGAGAACAATGAAAAATAGCATGGTTAAGGTAAACATACCTCCTACTCCAGGCACCAAATTTGGCCCAGCAGTACTCTGCCCAGCAGTGGTACTGGCAGTGCTACCAGCAGTACCACTCACAGTGTTAGTGGTCCCACTAGAAGCTGTTGAACTCTGGGAAGTCTGTGGAGCCCATGGATTGGGTAATGGATCCCTATTTTCTGTACGAGAAGGTTGACTCCCTTCACCTGAGGATGTACTGCTCACTAAAGAAGCAAATGGATTACCACCAAACTGTAATAAAAAAAAAAAGTAATAAATTTTTGTTTTTAAATAATAGACATGGAACTATGTTTTAATGGAACTGCATTCTCTGTAACAGTACCCCTCAATCATAGACATATTTGTGTTAGATAGGAACAACTCCTAAGCTTGAGCCTTGGAGCAAATGGATCACCTGTTCTTGGGCAGCACTCAGCATAGGTTCCTGAATATCTGTATACATGCGCCGTAAAGCATTATATCCCCCAGGAATACTTTCTAGGTTGCTCAAGGCTCGGTCCTGGTTTCTCATCATTTCCTGCATCATTGCTGGATTTCTGGCAAGTTCCAATGTCTAAGAAAGAAATTTCTGTTTTAAAAAGAGCACTGAAATGCACATGAAATTGCTTTAAATTTTAACTACTGTTAAGTTTGTAAGAAGCCACTGATCTGGTCAATCCTCCTGCACTAGGCCCCAGCAAACTGAATGTAGTCACGTGTGAAATATCAGGTAGTCAACCTGAACTTTAAAACAGCTATTTTTTAGAAAACAAAAACTTAAAAAATAAAAACCAGCAGAGCATTCCAGTCAACATGAGTCAGCATAATAGCTGCAGAAACCATCTGATTTGTGTTCCCTGCTTCTACTAAAAACCTGACCTGACTTGTTTAGTTCATGAACACACTAATTCTATTTTACAGAATAGACGTGTCATCCAATTCTAGAATCATGAAAGCTAATTACCAGCTTTAAATCATTTTGCTCTAGTATTTAATTTAAAACATTATTTCTTAAAATTTCTGGTGGATTTTATCTCTAAAAACAAACTAGCAATCATATACCATCAAAAAAGAAGCATTTTGTAGGGTGTAGTGGCACAGGCAGGCAGATCTCTGTAAGACTGAGGCCAGCCTAGTCTATATAGTGATCTCCATGCCAGCTGAGGCTAGAAGACCCTGCCCCTATCAAAAGCATTTTGTTGTGAGTGAACGGTTCATCTCCAGAAAAGAACTTTTTGTTTCCTAAACCCTCAAATGGAAAGAAAAGAAGGGAGGGAAAATCCAAACAGTCCAAATTAGTACTTTGATAGATTTTCCTAAACAATGATTAGGATTTCTTTTAAGTATAGCAGTACATACACAAGGCATTCTCTGTAACTACTGAAAATTAATGAGATATGTAAATTTTAGCTAATAAATTGAAAAGAAATTCCACATACTTGTCTCATTATGTCTGGATTATTAAGCATATGACTAATTTCTGGATTTCTTTGTATTAACTGCTGCATCTGTGGATTGGCCATAATTAATTGTCTCATCAGGTCAGGATTAGAAAGCATGCTCTGGACGAAGGGATTTTCCATGATCTGGACCATCATTTCAGGGTTGGACAAAAGTTGTCGCTGCATTTGGCTCTGTAGTTCAGAGAAGTTGGTAGTATTTAAACCCAAGCTACTCAGACCTGCAAGTCCTCCAAGTCCACCTTAGAGGATAAGAGGGGGAAAAAAAAAATAAATGAAAGTCAGAAGTTTTATTATTACCATGCTTGTGTTAAAAAAAAAAATCATTAACTCAATAGTATATCACAAGAAACCATTTTATAAAAAAACACAATTTCTACTACTAATTTTTATATTATTATACTATCACAGGTTTAATTCCTATGCTACAATTTAGATGTGAAGTGTTCCCCCAAAAGCCTCAGCTGGTGAAACTGCTGGGAGGTGATCAGATCATGTGCTAAGTAACCTCATCTATGACTTAGTCCACCAATGAGTTCACAGCTAAATGGGCTAACGTGGAGGTGCAGTACACTTGAAGGAAATGAGTCACTGAGAGCATTTTGCTTTTGAAGGGATCTTTTTATTTATTTTGGGAGTCTCTCTTGTAGCCTCAGCTGGCCTGGAACTCACTATGTAGATTAGGCTGGCCTCAATATCAGAGTTCAGCCTGCCTCTGCCTCAGCCTCTCAAGTGCTGGGATTAAAGGCATGTAAGACCATGCACAGCTCGAAAGGTACTATCTTATCTTTGGACTTCCTGCTGTTGATAGGGAACAGAAGGATAGGGGACTTCTAAACGCTGTATTATATATAATTATATTCTGTAACTGTAGAAAGAAATCTGCATGTACGTGTTCATATCTTAAAACATACACTGTTAATGATTTGTCTGTTCTGAGCTAACCTCACCTACATCTGCCCAGATTCCCCTGGTTGATACAAGGTTAATTCCAACAGACACTAATTATACACAGTGTTTAAAGAACTGTCTGAGCCCAGATAACCAGAGAATGAGGGAGTAATGAAAGAGATAAAAGAGGCAAAACTGAGCTCTGAAATGATTACCTTTGTTTCTATTTTCCCCAACCCCACCTCGGGTAATTTGCTGGCAGAGGACTAGATGGAGGCAGGTGGGTTTAAAGATATTAATCTGATGCCTTCTCAGATCAAAAGTTCTGAAATAAATCACAACTTATAGTCTTTCCTCCTTTAAATCTTTTTTCAGATATTTTGTCAAATATACACAAACACAGACACCCTAAAATTGAAATTAGCCAAAAATTTGCATTGTGATATTTGAGTTAAAAAAAAAAAAAAAAGAAAGAAAAAAAAATATATATAGGTCTTTTTGAGACAGGGTCTCCCTGTAGCCCCAGCTGTCCTGGAACTCACTATGTAGACCAGGCTGGCCTTGAACTCACAGAGATCCACCTGCCTCTGCCTCCCAAGTGCTGGGATTAAAGGTGTGCGCCACCACACCCAGCTCTAGTTCTATTTTTTTCACCTGTCTAGTGTAATACAAAATATTATTTTCCTCGATTCCTCACAGGATTCCTAAAACTGCTGTAATTTTTTGTTGTTGTTGTTGGTCTTTTTGAGACAGGGTCTCCCCGGTAGCCCCCAGCTGGCCTGGGTCTCACTATGTAGACGGCTGGCGTTGAACTCATACAGCCTGCCTCTGCCTCCAGAGTGGTGAGATTAAAGACCTGCACCACCATGCCCTGCTAAAGTCCCTGTAATTTTGAAAGCGATAAAAGTGCCTTCCATTATTTACAGCATGCCCCTTTGATCATTACAGGGAGGATTAGGGTTAACAGTGAATGTCCCCTACATGGTCAAAGGATGGCTGGAGCTGGTAATCAGAAAGCCTGATGTATTAAAGGGCTAGAACCTACATTCCTATCCACCAAAGTCAAAGAAGGAACAGGAAGAAGGTGGACACTTATTTCTATGAACTTTAAAAAAATGTTATTCGGCATGGTGGCATGCATTTAATCCCAGCACCCAGGTTTGATTCCCAACATCTACATGGCAGCTAACAACCATCAGTAACTCCGGTTCTAGGGAAATCCAACAGCTCTTCTGACCTCTGCAGGCATTGCACTACACAGATGCACTTACACAAACGCAGGCAACACACTCATACACATAAAATAAAAATAATAAAATATTTTAAAAAACAAATGAAAAAATTAGTATTCACTTGATCCCAAGTTCATCGTCAATGAACTATATTTCCTCAGATGCAGTTATGTAATGGTCAGATTACCAGGTACACATACACTACGACTTTCATTATTAAGTAGACATGTGTCACCTACTAACCACTTAAAATACACATTAGCTAATCAAGCACACCTATATCACAAGCTATTTCCTTATTAACACCTACAATTATAAAAACCACCTTTTTTTTTGGTCTATTTGAGACAGGGTATCCCTGTAGCTCCAGCTGGCCTGGCACTCACTATGTAGACCAGGCTGGCCTTGATCTCACAGAGATCCGCCTATCTCCTGAGTGCTGGGGCTAAATGCATGCATCACCACACTGGCCTTTTAAACATTTTAAAAACTGTTTTGTGACTTACATTTTATTCTGTCATTTCATCTGAAACAACCCTTAGAAGAAGACATTGTCTTTTTTCATCCATATAAAAACAACTGAAGGAACACTTACCTAAACCAAAAGGGCTGCTAGAAGCAGAACCAGAAGTGGGGTTACTATTGGGAGCTGATGAATTGGTAACACTGCTTCCAGTGGTATTTGTTGGCTGAGCTGAATGATCTTGAGGCCTAATGAAAACAGATCACAATGTAAGATGTGGAGCCAATTATTTTTAAAAGAACTTCAAATAGCAATAAAGGGTAAATTCTCCTAACAAATAAGATTTGGTAAGTATTTTGCCTGAAATAACTAAGCATTAGGAACAAAATTTCATAAGGTAAAAAAACCTTATGAAATACAAAATTAGTGTTACTGTACCTCCTCTCTGAATATAATATACATATAAATACTTTACCTCCAATCATACTGATTAAGAAAGGGAAACAAAGTGACCTTATAGAAGATAATAATCAATGGTCACTAATATTGATGAATCCCAGTACCCACATGGCAGCTAACAACTGTCCGTAACTTAACTCCAGTTCCAGGGAATCTGACAGTCTCTTCTGTTCTCCGAGGGCACTGCACGACACGGGTGCACTTACCTACATGCAGGCAATATATGCATACACATTAAATAAAAATAATAAATATTAAAAAATGGACTGACTGCTATGGAGTTGCCTGTAAGAAAGGGAAGAGATGGAAAGTGCTAATACTAAGATCAATCTGTAACTACACAAGGGTCAAGGTGTTCTAAAGAGAAACACTTGTGCTTCTCCCTTTGTCTAGCAGACAAAGACAATGGTCCCCAAGGAACTGGAACTTCTCCAAGAACCTCATGCTGAGAGGATAGAGATCTGGTGCCAACCAAAGGGAGGGCCTGTCTACTAGAAAGTGATTTCACAGTTATGACAATCTGTCATACCACACTTCACATTTCATGGGAAAGACTGAAACCAAGACAAGGATGAGTCAGTGATAGGTGAGACCACAATTTTACCACAACTCCTTAGTTATGTACACCTCTTACTCTATATTTAAACATAAACCTGATGTCAGGACCTTGAAGATGGATAGATGGATGGATGGACGGATGGATGGGGAAGGAGGGAAAGAGAGTCACTGATTTCTTTGTTTCTCTTCCCAGTGTGGCCACACTGAATAAATCTCCTTTCTCTGCTCTCCTCAGCATTACTTGTCTATTTAACTGAACTACTGAGTGAACTACTGAGAACTAGGTGGGCTGAGCCCACTTGGCCCTGGCTTGTTAAGGCTGCCAGGGTCAAGGCTATGACCCAAAAACTCTGGTTAACCTTACTATTTAGCATTCTTTTTAACGAAAAGCAAAAGACTACATTAAAGAACTCTTTCATCTGATACCAGGTAATCTTACTCAGATTCTAACATGTATGATTTTTCATTTTGACATCTCTAAAATCACAATCTGTCTTATACTTGCCTGAAAGCTAGGTACCAATTCTAATGCACACTTGTGCTCTGTACCATAGTTAACTACATGTGTCTTCAGAGTAAAGCTGCATCATTAGTCAGCTTGAAAGAAGTTTCCATGTATACAGAAAAGCACAGGAAAAATGAATTTCCTATTGACTCTGTGGGAAACACTAACATTAAAACCTGCTAAACAAGCAGGAATGGCTTACAAGAAAATCCTAGAGCAAGCACTGTAGCAAATTTACAAAAGAAATACTGCATAGTTTTACAACATGTACAAAAGATGACTATATCAAAGAGGGATTCAAAGGAATCGGATTCAGTGTACATACTGGGGCACACCTATAATCCCTGTTAAAGGTCTGGACTATAGAGTGATACCTATCTCAAAAAGAAAGATAAGTGTGGTGACATGCATCTGTATGTTAAGGCAGCAAGATCACATACAATCAAGACCAACCCAGGTTACACAGCATAGGAAGTTCTAGGTCAGCCTTGGCTACACAGCAAGACCTAGTCTCAAAATAAAGTCAAAATATTCTAAAATATTAAATGAGGGGCTCCACTGGATTGCCCCTTCTCCTCACCCAGCAAAGAAACGATTATCTAACAAACATGCCAGCACTATTGTTTTTCAAACACTTTGCTATCAACAGAAATAAAGGAAAAATTTCTAACCATTCAAATATTAACAATAAGGAAAGTCCTTAAAGCCTAGACTGGTTATTATTTAAAGAGATATGAACACTTAAAATTAACCTATATCTTCTTTTAAAACTGTACCTGTTTTGCGTTTTGATGACAAGGTGAACCGTAAGTCCATCATGAATTCCATGCTGACTCAAAGTATCTTGATCCTTTAAAATTTTCCCAGCAAATATCAACACAAGTTGGTCAGTATGAGACTTGAAACGTTTAGAGATTTCTTCTTTGAACTGAGTAAGATAAAAATATGTATAACAGGTGTTTGCATAGCATCATCCAGACTGGTTTCCAGATGTACCTAAAAGAGGCCCCCAATACACAACTCAAACAATGTACACATGCATCTTTTTTGTTTTGGTATCTTGACCTTAGTGTGCAATGATTTCCACCTCATTTAAAATGAAAGGGTCTTGGCTCCCCTCTCAGTCTCCCAGATACTGGCAAGCACCCTACTGAAAGCAATGTCTGTGACTTCTCACTTTGCCAGTACATTTAAAGATACATCAAAGGGTTACCTACAGATGGTGACACATTACCCTCCCCACCCACTTCCCTGCCACTTGTTGAGAAATCTGAGACAGTCTATAAGATGCAATTCCCTTATATGTGTGGAGCCTGAATGCTCCTCAGCGGCCCACCATGCTACTGTGTCTCTTCTGTGTGACATTATTATGCCAACATTACAGTTATACCTACATAAACAGCCTGACTCTTGACTTTAGTTTTAAGAGTGGGCCCAAACTCAGAGCCACAGGTCTCCTGGGAACTGTGCTGCTGAGTCATACCACACCAATACTTTTATTCAAACTGTTTCTCCAGCATCAATTTGGGGGAACTACAAGCTTGGATCCCCCTTCTTTTAGCAGACAATCTTGCCCTTCCTTCCATCAACAGGCCTAAAACATCTCATATATGCAATGTCAAGCATTCTTCTCAAGTTTCATTGCTTTCAAAGAAGATTCAAATATGAATGCTCTGCCTTTCAGCAGTTTGACTTACTAATTCTCAAGCATACCTACATTCATTATCTTGGGTGGAGAGCAAATTGAGCCAAATACCCAGGTCACAAGAGCACATGACTCAGTGTGTTTGTTTACAATAGCTTTTTGGTTGCAAGGTTAATTAAAAGTCCTTAGTCCAACCAGGCGTGGTGGCACAAGCCTTTCGTACCAGGACTAGGAAGGCAGAGGCTCTCTTGAGATGGGAGGCCATCCTGGTCTACACAGCAAGTTCCAGGTCAGCTGGGGCTACAGGAAGACCCTGTCTCAAAAGAACCAAAACACTAGTCTTTAGTCCATATTCTGTCCATTTTATAAGTCATTCCTACATCTACCCGCCCATGGTATGAGTAACTCTTGTAGTAAACTTCTTACTCCCAACAATCCATCCCAGTGTCCTCCTTGAATTTCCCATCTTTCAATAAGTGAATTTAAAACTTGAGAGTATGAAAAAGCTCCCAAAAAGAACTCCCTGTACCTTGGACTGAACTTCCGGCAAGGCTGACCAACTGATTATCACTCCCAAGACTGGAGAGTTTGGAAATGTTGCAGGTCCAGAGTCTAACTACCATTTATCTCCAGCCATCTTTAGCCCTCTAAACAGCTACTCCTTGCCCACCACCTCTGTTTCTGATCTAACATCCTGTGACTAACAGATAAAAACCTTTTCGAATGTATTATCCTAGCAGATCACCCAGTGTCACCAATCAAAAGGCTAAGAAAGTCATCAGCTAGCATCTGAAATCTATAGTAACTCCTTGCTTTGCTGCAACCTGTCTACTGAATGTATCCTCCAATGTATTTGAAGTGTCTTGACTTATGACTTTCCTTTGTTCTGTTACTATAAGAATGTAAGGCAAAGCCGGGCGTGGTGGTGCACGCCTGTGAGTTCAAGGCCAGCCTGGTCTACATAGTGAGTTCCAGGACAGCTGGGGCTACAGGGAGACCCTGCTATCATGCTGAAACATGGAATTTGGGGTAACCTGAATCTGTGTTCCCGGGCCATGGTCACTCATATTTGGCTCCAGAATAAACTCTTATCCCCTTTGAGGTAAGAGTTATGCTTTTGTATCAACAACAGATACCACAAAACACTGGGACAGGGGACAGGTCTTAGGGAACATAATACTGAAACAAGACTAGCAACAGGACTGTAGAGAACAGGATGTGTGATTGTCATGGAAAAAAATCAGAGACCAACAGCTAAAGTCAGTGAGGAGAAGGAGTTTAATTTTATGCTAGTGGCCTGACCTAAAGATCCTTTCATAAAGGAGTCAGTAGCCCCTTCCAATTTTGGGAGCCTTTATATTCATATGTGAGAAAAATGCAAGCAAAAGGCAAAACAGCACATAAGTTACAATTAAATAAAAAGGTACATGTGATCATTAAGCAAGTTAACATGGCAACAAAAGTTATAGGAACGTGAAAGCTTTGGAGAACAAAGACTTCTATCCTGGACAACCACAGGGGGAAGGTGGGGAAGACTCCTGTTCACCTCCCCATTTTATCTGTTGTCACTGAGCTTTTCCTGCTCCAAGTTCTTAATTCACATTCTAAGAGCTTTTAGCATCCATTTGATGGGCTCTTCTATTTCCATTACATCATCACCTGTAGTTGGAGTGATGGGACCAAACACTGGTTCTCTGCAAGAGCAGCATGCCCTCATAACTGCTAAGCCATTTCTTCAGCCCAAGAGCTAAATCATGATATATATTCAGCCAATGCAGTTTCTCATTGAGTAGTACTACAGGTATAGCTGTACCCTTCACCATTTTCTGAATGTTACACAAAGTGTCATGAACCCATACTTCAAACCTAAGGTGCCACTCAAAATAAAGAGGCCCAATGAGGTTGAAGGATCCTACTATCCGTGATATTTTTAACAGCTCCTATGAGAGCAGGTGAATTCTCACAGGTCTCTCAGGACTTTGGTTTTATGAGATTTTGTTATAAGGATTGAATGAGATGATGTTGTACCAGAAAATAATGTAGCTGTGTAATGAAATAGTGATTAACCTGAATAATTTGTGTGTCTGTATCTGTATGGGCAGGTGAGTATTGTACATGTACACGCATGTGGAGGCTAGAGATTTGACAGAGAGAATCTTCCTGCATTGCTCTCGATCTGACTTTTTTTTCAGACAAGGTATCGTACTGAACCTGGAGTTCATGAGTTTAACCTAGACTGTTGGCCTCAAACTCTCTGAAGCAGAGGATAGAAGGATGATGACCTTAACTCCTGATTCTCCTGCCTTCACCTCCTTAGTGTTGGGATTACAGGTATGCACTGAGTTTATGTGGTGCTAAAGCTAGGGCCTTATGCTTCAGATGCTAAACAAGCACTCTACCAACTGAGATTCCCTAGTCCCATACTTCTCTTTCGGCCACATCGATTTTTACCTCTTCCTCCTGTACAACTTCATATAAATGAAATCAAATACAAACACACACACAATAAACTTTTAAAAGACAAAAACCACTCCCCAAAGTAGCAATTTGTTCTGAATAAATTTCCCAAAATTTAGAACAAGCAAAAAATCAAGAAATTAACAATTTATACATTTAGCTATGTGCTGTTTGAAGCATATGAATAATTATACCACAGCAAATATTTTCCATAAACTATATTTAGAAAATTTTAATCTAAATATGATTGAATAAACAATGCTTTTTTTAAAAGATCTTTTTGAGACAGGATTTCCCTGTCTCCCAGTTGGCCTGGAACTCACTATATAGACCAGGCTGACCTTGAACTCTCAGAAATCTGCCTTCCCTGTCTCTGCCTCCGGAGTGCTAGGATTAAAGGCATGCACCACCACACCCAGCTTCAATGTTACATATTTTTAAACAGCATCTGTAGCAGGGCCAAAAATCCTGCACATACTCAAGTTCCTATTATGCTCCCCACAAAAGGAAAGTTTTAATTTTCATTGACTTCAAAATTTCTAGAAATTTTATCTCTAACACTTGACCCTATTTTTATCTACCATAGTTTTATTAAAGAAAACAAAAATCAGAAGCTAAGAGCAATCTTACTACATTAGACAGAGGTGGTCCACTGGCACTATTCCTTGCAAAAAAATACACAACTTACTGAAAAAAATAATTCAAATTATTCTTATTTATCTGAGAAATAGCCAGATCCACAAAAGATTTTTATAATTTCTATTAGACAGACTACCTATCCGTAAACCCATCTATCTTTGTACTTAAACCCATGGGGCTTCCATTAACATAAAATGAAAGAAATATGATAAAATGGGTCTCTGAACCCCCATATTTCTTACAAATGTACTAGGAAATGTACTGAGTTTGTACTAACAATCTACAATAGTGAACAGGCCAGAAGACTTGAAAACTAGGATTTATTAGAATGATTTTCAACAACTGAATGAGTCAAAATTCTTTAAAAAATTTATTTGTATTTTTTATTTTTCTTACGTGTATAAGTGTTTGTCTACATGTATGTAAGTGTAATGTATGTGAGTGAAATAGACAGAGGCCAGACAAGGGCTTTGGATCTCCTGGAACTGGAGTTATGGACAGTTTTGAGTCACAATGTGTGTACAGGGAACTGAACCCAGGTCCTCTGCCTCAGGAGTCAAAATTCTAATGAACCTTGAATAAACAATGTAATGATTTGAAAACCAACTTATCACAGACTACGCAGAATTTGGTAGCCCCTCATTTCAGAGCATCCTACAAAAGTCAGGTGTTCTACAGCAGCTAATTTTTATACCATGTGAATATTCATGATTAATAAAATAAAATGATGAAATAAAATTTTAAGTTTTTTTAGCATACTGAGTTACTAGCATGATACTAACTCTGCTGTTCTGCAATTTGGTGATTACTATTCCAGACTTTCAATGTGTGCTATATCTGATTTTGTTTTTTAAACCAGATTGTCAGTTCTTGTCTTCTCAACATCTGCTCTCTCCAAATTTGCTGTTTTTAATATGGGTTAAGAGTAAGTAATCAAGCCAGGCATGGTGGAGCACTCCTTTAATCCCAATGCTCAAGATGCAGAGGCAGGGGGATCTCTGTGAGTTCCAGGATAGCCCACTATAGAGAGACCCTGTCTCAAAAAGACCAAAAAAAAAGTAAAATAATTCAGGAAACCATATAAAACACAATGTTGAAAGAATTTAAATGCTGCTCTGAAATGAAAATATTTAGTATTTATTATAATAGTATAACAACTGTTATGATCCTAATCTTAGCTGATTAAG